CACACTTGTAATTCCAGCATTTTGGGAGGCCAAGGCAGGTGTACAGCTTCAGCTCAGGAGCATGAAATCAGCTTGGGCAACATGACGAAACTCCATCTCTACAAAAAACACAAAAATTACTGGTGCGCCTGGTGCGCACCGCACCTGTACTATCAGCTACTCAGGAAGCTGAAGTGGGAGAATCACCAGAGTCTGGGAGGTCGCGGATGCAGTGAGCCCTGATCGCACTACTATACTTCAGCCTGGGCAACAGAATAAGACCCTGTCCCCCTACAACTAAAAAAAAAATCATCATTATTTTTAAAGCCTGTTCAAAAACTGACAAGATGTTAGAAATAACAAAGCTAGCTGTTTGTTGCTTGGCTGGGGGATTTTTGTTTTAGGTAAACACGGAAACTTAAAATTTACCATAATCTTTACATTCTTGTCCAGGAAGGTCACAAACCTTAACTCCAGGGATACCAGGGTAGAAAATTAACCTTTATCTGGGACAGTCATTTTTTACTGCAGAAGCTTCTGGGTCAGAAGACTGCACTATTTATTAAGATGTGAGGTTCCAGCATCAGACTAAGATTTAGTATTTAAAGAAAGTTAAATATTAAATATATTACACATTTTTTTTTCTAACACAAGGTACCAAAATAAATTATATTTTAACTCATTTAATATAATTTTAGTGGGATTTGGCAATGAAGTAAGATTATTAGAACCTCCCCCTTCTATATCTTGTAATGTACATTGTACGTTTAGACTAGTTTCTCAGTTTTTGTCATTCAAAATTCTCAATTCTCCAAATGAAGTTTAAAAACTTGGATTTCCCATCCAAAATTGCTGTCTTCTAAAAAATATACAATTTAAGTGCAAAGAAAGCATTTAAAATTTTCTACCTTACTTCTCCTATAGATAAAATGAATATATTGGAATATCAATTACATACTCTATGCTTTACACAGCCCAAACTAAAGTGAACCAGGAAAGGTAATTTTATCCTAAGAAATTACTATAGTGAGAGCCATAGTATATACATAGTCATCATGTGCCACAACATTTTGATCAATGATGAAATGCATATACAAACGACAGTGGTTCCCTTAAGATTATAATGCCTCATCTTTACCATTTTGATGTTCAGATACACAAATACTTCCCATTGTGTTACTACCACCTATAGTAGCATGCTGTACAGATTTGTTGCCTAGGGACAATAGGCTATACCATACAGCCTAGATATACCACCGAAGTTTGTGTAAACACACTATGATAACACAACGAAACCACCTAACAATGCCCACCTTCACTGATGACACATAACTATGTGTGTGCACAAGACTCTGTGTGTGTGTATACATATTTGTATACGCCTGCATGTAACCGTGTGTGTAACAGCTGGGCATGGTGGCTCACGCCTGTAATTCCAGCACTTTGGAAGGCTAAGGCGGGCAGATTGCTTAAGCCTAGGAGTTCAAGATAATCCTGGGCAACATAGGAAGACCTCGTCTCCACTAAAAATAAAAAATTAGCTGGGCATGCTGGTACACACCTATAGTCCCAGCTACTAGAGAGGCTGAGATGGGAGGGTCACTTGAGCCCTGGGAGGTTGAGGCTGCAGTGAGCCATGACTGCCCCCACTGCACTCTGGCCGAGGCGATAGAGGCTGTCTGAAAACAACAACTGTGTGTATATATACAGTAGTCCCTCACTTATCCAAGGTTTTGCTTTTGAGGGGTTTGTTACCCCCAGTCAACTGAGTCAATCACTGTCCAAAAATACAAAAATGGAAAATTCCAGAAATAAATAATTTATAAGTTTTAAACTGTGTGCTAAGTAGTGTGATGAAGTTATGCACCGTCCCACTCTGTACTGCCTGGGAAGTGAATCACCTCTTTGGTCAACAAATATTTGCATTACATATGTTACCTGCCGTTAGTCATTTAGCTAACTGTCTCGGGTAGATCAACTGTCCACATATGGCAGTGCCAGTGTTCAAAGTAACCCTTATTTTACTTAATAATAGGCCCAAAGCACAAGAGTAGTGATGGTGACATACTGTAATGACTGTTCTACTTTATTATTGTTGTGGTTGATCTCTTACAGTCCCTAACTTATAAACTTCATCATAAACATGTACATATAGAAAAAAACACAGTATATACCGGATTTAGTAATATCCATTGTTTCAGGTATCCACTGTGGGTCTTAGAACATACTTATCAGGAATAAGGCTGGTAGAGGTTGGGGGTGGGGGGAAAAGTGTTGTATAACTTAAACTGAGAAACTCTTAGCTTTGGTTATCACACTGCACATGTCATATAACCAATCAGTTAACGAAGTCCAACCTGGTAAATATTCAAGGTACTGAAACACAATTACTGTATACAAGGAACCCAGTGAACAAGACAGATGTACTCTGAGCCCTCAGGGAGCTTCCAGTTGGGTAATGTAGAAAACATGTTATTTTTAATGCAGTAACTCATTACACATTACTCATACACGTTTTGTATAGATTATTTTTTAACTGTTCTTTGTAGGAAACTTTGTAAAAGCTTAATAAAATTTACACAAGGTGTCTGCAATAACAGAAAAGATGTGTATTTCCTCCTTATATAGAAAAATAGCATTTAATATTAGTTAACACCAACATTGTAACACTTTTCAAATCCAGTTTATTGGGCAAATTATCACCACAGGAATGACAGGGAGCTAGCAATCTGCCCAGTTATATGGGTTTCAGCTTCTAGGTATGAGTATTATAGAAGCATAATTATAGATAATAGAAATTAATGTCTTTATTACCCAGATAGGTGCAAACCCCTTAATTCAAGAACTCTACGAACAGGAGTCTTTTCACTGTTCTGTGATTAATATAATTGCCAATTTCTGCAACTTAGACTCATTCGTTATCAAGATCTTAAACCATTTATGGAATCATTTGAGAAGGAACTTAACGTTTGTGACATGACTGAGATTTTTAGAGGGTTTATACTTATAATTTCCTGTTTCATGTTAGGCAATAAAGCACTTAGAGTACCATTTTTCCTTAAGAGAGGAAGAGCCAAGTATTGATTCTAACTATAAAGCTAGGCATGCAATGATGATCAAGTAAATGATACAACCTGTAGGTTACCTAAAACTCTCCCAAAAACAAATAAACAATTCCAGTAGGTAGGTGCTAGTTCTCCATGTAGCCCAGAAACAATCTTTGTTCTAAACTATAAAGATAAAGCACTTATATAAACTTTTTAAATAAAGTTATGAAAATTAAATTAAAAAAAAAAACTAAGCAAATGTGAGGCAAAGAACCTTCTCAAAAGTGGGGAAACGTATCCTATGTATAGACAACAGGTGACATCACTACTTCCCAATAACAGCTATACAGTTTATGTATTTGTATTGCATTATCACCACTAAATCATTTCTAAAGCAAAACTTTTAAAATCATCTACTTTTCTTCTTCAATGTGCATTACTGCGTCTACTCTATCAATGACTTGTAAATATTTTCACCTTAGACAACGAATTCTTGAGAAGTACTGAATTTCACTCATGTTTGTGTTTGGTTCATTTCGCCCACCACAACCACTACAGACTCCCATATCCACAGCTCATAAATTACAATCAGATGTTTGCTGAATACTGACTAATTAAGAGTATGTATTTTTAATAACTGAGTTAACTAAGTAAAAGCAGTTTCTTTTACTCACTAACACCATGTAATCCTATGTTCACATTCCTTCTCGATTTCTCAGAAAAAACAAAAAACAAAAAACAAAACACAAACCCAGGGAGATTTTTTAGCATTTAGTTTAAGGATGGAACATCAAATTGCTATAACCTAATCAAAGAACTACTTTAGGATAAGGGCAGTATCTTAAACATATTCCCACCCATTCCACTTTCCAAGCTTGTCCCTATCCTAGGGCAGTTCACTGAAGCATGAAGACTCTCCTGATGTAGAAACCAGAAAAATTAAGAAAAAAGGATCACAGGCCTAAGTAACTTGACTCTAGAGCCCACTTAACAAACCCCCACAAAAATCTCCCAAATCAGTTAGGCACACAGAAGAGATGTGTGAGACACAGAGCAGCGACCGTGTCGTATTATTAACTAAAATCTTTCCAAGACTATTATGTTAATCTTAGGGTTGAAAAAGATCTTAAAGCAGCATTTAATCTAAACCACTCTCCAGACAGATATTGATGTAGAACCTACATTAACATCTCTAGGGCTTGGGAACTTAGTATATCCTTCCATTATAGCAACATCAGTTCTCCCTACATTTCACTGAAATTTATCCCTCCAACTCTCTATAACTTGCATCCATCTGTTTCTGACTGTACCCTCTGGGACCTACACACGTTTTTCTAGCATAATAGACCCAGGATTTCTTTGTCAGCCTGTCACATAGTTATCTTTCCAAACTAAGTATTCATTTTTCCAAGTATTATGTTTTTCCAAAATGAGTATTCGAGGAACAAAACGGCTAGTTCCCTTTGCCTATTGAACAGGAACAGCCAGAAGTTATTTGCAGATATTTCTCAAGATTAATAATCTGCCAGTGCCACTTCTTAAACATACTCATTTACCACACTACCAGTGTTGATCGCGGCATTGGGGGTTCTCAAATTTTAGTCTAACAGAAATGGTTGTCCTGAAAATACGCATTACATCCGCATGATCCTACCAGGAAATAAACCTAGGAGCTTGCAACTCAGAAAGGCCCCCTCTCAGCCCAAGACAGCTAAACGGAAAATCAAGCCTGAAATCCGGATCAAAGAAAAACCCTACCGAGATGAAGTGTTAGGCCATATGGAGACCGAGGACGAAAGGGCAGGCCTGGTCTCCGCCAATGAGTCCAAGTGTCTCGGTGGGGGCGACCGGCTCCTCACGAGGCAAGCTAACCTCCCCAACCCCCACTCCCGCCCCGCAACGACGACCACTGCTCCATCACTCCACTCCCGAGCCCCAGCCTCGCCTCCGCCCGTCACCTTTCTCCGCACTAACCTTTCTCCTCCCGAATGTCGGCCGCCATTGCTCCCCTTCGGTTTCCGCCGCTGCCGCCGCCGCCGCCGCTTAGACGCGACTCGCGCGGGTGCCGCAGCCGCGGCAGAAGCACGGGCCCGTCCGTCAGTCCGTCCGCCCAGCTGCGCGCGTCGCACTTGGCTTCTTTAACACTCAGCCTTCCCGACTCTTCCCTCTTTTTCCCTTTCTCCCTTCCTTTCACTCCAGCTTCCAGCCGCCTAGGCCCAGCCTTCTCGTTAGGGCTCAGACTCGAGCGAGGGTATGGGGGAGGGAAGGGAAACAGATGGCGACGGCGGGCGGCGCTAAAATGGAGCCTGCTTCCTGCGCGAAACAATCCCGCTCCCGAAATGCCGTGCGCTGTTTACGCTTCGTTCCTCTCTGGGAACGTCACAGTACGGAGAGGGGCGGGGAGGCGGGACGTACAAAAGAACGTGACGTGACGTCAGCGCGTCACCCCGCTGCCCTCAGCCCGCTGGTACCTGGAAGGAGTCTTACGCGGAGATTAGGTTGCCCAGGCTGTTCATGGAGTTCCGGCTGTGCTGGCTATACCCGGATGGCGTAATTTTCCAACCTGAAACTCTTAGTGGGTTGCCTGCCAGGCCTTTTTAGCTAGAGTCTCTCTAAAGGACTCCTGATTCAGTTCGGGAAATCGGAGTCTTATTTAGGACAAGTCTGGGTGAATCCTTTATGTTTACCAGATGTGCTTTCTTAGTTGGGGTTCCACTCTTACCCAAAGGCAATGCAACATGCAACCAGCTCCTTTGTAGTCACAAAAGCCTACTAGTTTTTGTTTTGAGACGGATTCTCGCTGTGTCGCTAGGCTGGAGTGTAGCGGCGCCATCTCCGCTCACTGCAACCTCTGCCTCCCGGGTTCAAGCGATTCTCCTGGCTCTGACTCCCAAGTACCTGGGATTACAGGCGCCCGCCACCATGCCCAACTAATTTTTTTTATTTATAGTAGAGACGGAGTTTCACCATGTTGGCCAGGATGGTCTCGATCGCTTGACTTCAGGATCCACCCACCTCAGCTTCCCAAAGTGCTGGGCTCACAGGCGTGAGCCACCACGCCCGTCCTAGGTTTGTTTTTAATTGGGGAAAGAATTGTATCGTAATATGTCTTTGTAATTAACAACTAATTTAAACATGTATCAAGGCCCTGGGGCACAAAATTGATTAAAGCAGACCATCCAGGAATCGAAACTACAGAAGAAATGACCAATAGATACATAACTACATAGTGTAAAATCTGCAAGAGAAACTTGCTTAAGATTCATTATCCAATGGAAAGAAAATCCAATTTTGCTTCCCTGAACTATAACTGAATTATAAGGGTAAGAAAAATCTGCAAAAAGGTAACTAAGTAACTTTGTGATATGAAGACAAACTGGCAAACTAATTTCATATTCAGAGAAAGACAAGTAGTCTAGAAGTCTAGAATGTAGTACCTCTTTTTTTTTTTCTTGAGACTTGGTCTCACTGTCAGACAGGCTGGAGTGCAGTGGTGTGATCGTGGCTCACTGCAACCTTGGGCTCAAGTGATCCTCTCACCTTAGCCTCCCCGGTAGATGGAACTACAGTCATGCTCCACCACACCCGGCAAATTTTTTGCATTTTTTGTGGAGATGGTGTTAGCCATGTTGCCCAGGCTAGTCTCTAACTCCTGGGCTCCAGCAGTCTTCCCACCTCGGCCTCCCAAAGTGCTGGGATTACAGGTGTGGAGCCACCAGTACTGGTCCTGTTTCTAGGACCTTAATTGGACATTAATTTGAATATATGAACATGCACACACCACAAACACACACACGTTAAATAATATCTGATGATCCTGAGGAATTGCTATTTGTATTTTTAGTTGTAATAAGTTATTTTTTTTTAAAGAATTTCTTACAATTTCATGATTCATATGAAAATATTTGCAGGCCAGGTGCAATGGCTCACACCTGTAATCCCAGCACTTTGGGAGGCTGAGGTGGGCGGATCACCTGAGGTCAGGAATTTGAGACTAGCCTGACCAACATGGTGAAACCCCGTCTCTACTAAAAATACAAAAATTACTCGGGCGTGGTGGCGTGCGCCTGTAGTCCCAGCTACTCGGGAGGCTAAGGCAGAAGAATTGATTGAACAAGGGAGGTGGAAGTAGCAGTGAGCTGAGATTGTGCCACTTTCACCACAGCCAGGACAACAGAGCTAGACTGTGTCTCAATAATGATATTTGCAAATGAAATTATATGGTATCTGGGATTTATCAAAATAAACTGGTGGCAGGTGTAGGAAAGTGGGTGGGAGAATAGATTAAACAAGTCTACCCATGAGTTAATAATTGTTGAAGCTGGGAGATACACATGTGAAAGGAAAATCTTCCCCAAATCACTAAGCCAAAGGAAGAAGTCAAGCTGGTGATTGATGTCTCACACATCCCTAAAATGTATAAAATGAAGCTGTGCATGAACACGTTGGGCACATGTCATCAGGACAGCTTGAGGCTGTCGTGGGCTCTTGCTTAACCTTGGCAAAATAAACTTTCTAAATTGATTGAGACTTGCCTCAGATACCTTTTGATTTACACATACATTAGTAGATATTATAGTCTCTTCTCTTTTGGCAATTTGAGTTTTCTTTAATAATTTTTATAAGGAAGAGCAAAAGAAAACAGCCCAGTAATTTAGAAGATATCAAAATGCCATTTTCCGTGATTCTACATTTGTCCTATTAGAACTAAGGAGTAATTTTTAATGTAAATAGAATTCCATATGTGCATCTTTGTTATTAAAATAAGTTTATGGGGCCAGCTGCAGTGGCACGTGCCTGTAATTCCAGCCCTTTGAGAGGCCGAGGCAGGTGGATTGCTTGGGCTCAGGAGTTTTAAGACCAGCTTGGGCAACCTGGCGAAACCACGTCGTGCACACCTGTAGTCCTAACTTCTCTGGGGGCCGAAGTGGGAGGATTGCTTGAGCCGGTGAGGTTAAGGCTGCAGTGAGACATGACTACACTCCTGCACTCCAACCTGGGCAACAGAGTGAGACCTTGTCTCAAAAAATAAACTGAAGTAAGTTTATGTTAAACTAAGAGCACAGCTGTAAAAAAAAAAGTAGTTTTTAATTCAGTCATGTTAGTAAATAGGAAAAGTTGTTGAGGTTATAAAGAGTGAACTCTAGATATGTTGAACATTGGTCTGAAGGTATTGTATAGTGATTAAGAGAGTAAGCTTTGCAGTCATAGTGACCTGGGTACAAATTCCAGCTCTGTCTCTCAATAGCATGAGACCTTAGAGGAATTAATTTCTAATCTTTAGTGTCTTCATAAATGGGAATTTAGAAATAATTTCTGAAGGATTGTTATAATGTTTCAAATGATTTTTTTTAAAGGCAGTTAAGTGATCAATAAGCTGGAGCTATTGTTATTTTTATTGTGTCTGTAGTTCAGGAAAGGTGGATTTTTCTAACAATTATTGTTGGTGAACTTAAACAGAAAATGTAATATTGAGGGACTCAGATTTTTGGCCTAGCTATGGGTGGAAATAACTTTCTGGGTAAAGATGCTAAACTAAAAACGTACAGCCGAAAATCCTCTTCAGAGCTGAGGGATCATCACAATATTATTGTAAAAATATAACAATGAACATGGGAGTACAGATATCTCTTTTGAGATCCTGATTTCAATTGTTTTGGATATATACACAGAAATAGAATTGCTAGATCATGTGGTAGTTCTATTTTTGAGGAACTTCCATACTCTTTTTTTTTTTTTTTTTTTTTATAGTCACTGCATCGTTTTACATTCCTGCTATGGTGTATAAGTATTCCAATTTCTCCATATCCTTGCCAAAACTTGGTATCTTTTGAAACAACTTATACGTATGTTGAAAGATGAGTGGGTTAAAAAATATATGGTTTATACAATAGTATTCAATTGAGTACTATTCAGTCTTAAAAAAGAAGGAAATCGGCCAGGCACAGTGGCTCATGCCTGTAATCCCAGCACTTTGGGAGGCCAAGGCAAGGCAATCACTAGAGGCTAGGAGTTTGAGATTAGCCTGGCATATGTGGTGAAACCCTGTCTCTACTAAAAATACGAAAATTAGCCTGGCGTGGTAGCTCGCACCTGTAATCCCAGCTACTCAGGAGGCTGACAGGAGAATCGGTTGAGCCTCGGAGGCAGAGGCTGTAGTGAGCCGCGATCGCACCACTCACTACACTCCAGCCTAGGCCACGGAGGAGAGACTGTGTCTCAAATTTAAAAAAAAAAAATTGAAAAAAGGAAATCTTGCTGTATGTAACAACGTGAATGACCCTGGAGGATGTTATGCTAAGTGAAATAAATCAGTCGGAGAAGGACAAATACTGTACTGCATGATTCCACTTTTATGAAGTATCTAAAATATTCAGATTAATGGAAACAGTAAGATGGTGGTTGCCAGGGACTAGGGGGAAAGGGAAATGGGGAGTTGCTGTTCAACAAGTATAAAGTTTTAGTTCTGCAAGACGAATAAGTTATAGAGAGCTGGTATACAATATTGTGCCTACTGTTAATGTTACTGTATTCTGCACTTAACATTTTGTTGAGGGTAATTTCATGTTCAAGGTTCTTACTATAATAAAATGTTTTTAAAAAAACCTCAATAATTACCAAAAAAGTATTTCAATATGTAGTAAAAAGAAATATAATGCTTCTGAAGGCAGTTCCTTTTATACTGATAACGAATTGTGAATTGAGATGAGTGGAATTTAGCAATAAAAAGTGTCGAGAGCATTGGGCAATATTGATGTCAATTCTACCTAATTTCATCTATAGATTCAAAACAATCCCAATCAAAACCTCGGTGTGCTTTTTAACAGAAATTCACAATGTGAATTGAAATTTACAAGGAAATGTCATGGATACAGGATAGCCAAAACAATTTTGGAAAACAATAACAGTTTTGGAGGACTAGCATTACTTGATTTCAGGACTTATTATAAACTTATGGTATCAAAACTGTGTGGTATTTATGTAAAGTAAGACAAATACATCAACAGATCAGAATGCAGTGTCCAAAAGTAGAGTCACAAATATTATGGTCAATTGAATTTGACAAAGGCACCAACATAACTGAAATGTGTAGAAGGATAGTCTTTTTGACAAATAGTGTTGGGGCAATTAGACATACACATGGAAATAAAATGACCATGACCCCTACCTTACATAATACACAAAAATTAATTCAAAATGGATGATAGGTCTAAATATAAAAGTTGTTGTAAAACTTCTAGAAGAAAACATGGGAGAAAATTTTTACCACCTTGGAGTAGGATAAGATTTCTCATATAAAATAATCACGAGTCCTAACATTTTTAAAAATTAATACAATTGCAGCTCAAAAAAATTAAAATT